CATAAATCACGATTTACAATACACTTACGATCACATTTTTTTTTAGGTCATAAGATTCACTTTGTGTATTGTTTTCCTGTAAATAACTTGATATTTTGGTCAATATTTGAGACACTTTATCATTTTGTAACAAAATTTACAATAATTTTTATTAGGATTAAACGTTATTATAGACGGGGGTTGATTTTATTAACGAAATATAGTTGAGGGGTTTTTTTACTAAAAAAAATAGTTGAGGAGATTTTTCATGATCTGAAGATTGTTGAGAGGATTTCTAATAAAAACTCATTATTGATTGGTGTTTTATTTGGTTCAAATATATACTTTTTACAATTACCAATATCTTTATAGGATTTTCATATATATAATTTTACAAAAAATTCTGGTACGAAATATATGTTCTTGTCTTATAAAGTATACTTGTACGGAATGCTTAATATAATTTTGAGTTATACGAAATTTAATTTTAGCATGAAATGCAGCTATTTTGCTAAATTAAATATATATTCGTATTGCTTTATAAAATTCTAGGTCATAAAAAAATTATGCGCGGAATGGATAGTCTTGCCCAATTAAGTATATATTCATATTCTTTTATATAGTTTAAATAATATGAAGTTTTAAAAATTACGCGAAAAATGTAGAGTCTTACCTACGGTAACTTTAATTAATACGCGCGAAACATGGTATTTTATCTAGTATCATGTTTATTTAAATTTCATATTTGAGAGAAACATATCATTTTTAGATTTAATAGCCTTCAAATATTTATTTTGAATCCAATTCAACTCCATTTCAATGCAAAATTTTTCCATAATTTCAGATTCTCTCTCCATCTATCACCTAACACCTCAGCATAGGGTCATATCTCTATCTCCAAATCCTCTTCTTGTGACCTTTTGTCGATATCCTCTCGCGTGTATATAAAGCACACTATTGGTTCACGTCTTCTTCAATCTCCCACAAACAAACCCTAATATTTTCCTTGAGACCTTTCTTTCGATTTCTCTAAATTTACTTTGAGTTTCTTTGTGAAATGAGTCTAACCATTATCGTTCCTCTCTACTACTATTGTGTTCATAGTCTTAATTGTTTTTGTCTCCTAGATCGAGATAAAGTACTTTTAATCTCATTTATACAAAAACTTGATATATTGTTTGATATTTTTTTTGTATCATTGATTCAGCGAGTGAATCAAAGA